TCATAATTTTCTGTAATTTATCAGAAAGATCTTATCTCAGATTTATCACAGATGGATTCTCAGATCTGCTTTTATACTCACTTGTTTTCTTCACTCTCCTTTGGCCTCTTCTGTGCTCTGTAAGCTTTTTGTTTTTCCAAACCCTCAAATTAAATGCAGGCAATATGGAGCTCTTCTTTTTTCAAGCCCACTTGCATCCTTCCCTTTGGATAAACTCATCATTGTTCTTCGCATTCTTCATTCAGAAATGTTTGAGTTGCTTCCGCATTGAACTGCTTGTTTTTATGTCTACTGTTATTTAATATTAGTGCTGTCAGACTTCATAGGATCAGGTCCTGAGGTCAGTTAGCCTGAGTTCAGATCCAGTCCTGCTGCTGACTGTCTTGGTCCTGTTAACTTCTTAGTTTCTCTTCTCCAAAATGAAGATAATCATGTTAGTTCTCATACCTTTTTTTTTTTTTAAGGCTTAAAGGAAAAAATGCATATAAATGGCTTAATTCAAAATAAGTATTCAGGAGAAGAGATGTTAGCTATTATTTATTTTATGATTTAGAGCCAGTCTTCTAGAATCCGTTAATAGCTATTCTCAACTACTGGGTGATCTCATTCAGTCTAAAGACCATCTATACATATGACTCCTAATTTATATCTCTGTTCCTAACCTCACTCTTCCCTAAGCTCGAGACTTGAATATTTGACTGCTAGTGTATATTTACACTTAAATATCTAATACTTACTTCAAACAAAACGTCTAAAAACAGAACTTTCGATCTCTATCACCTGCCCCCACTTGCCTCCCCAGTCTGTACCTCCTCATTTTTTCCTATCTCAGTTAGCGGTACGACTCTCTGTGCTTTTTTGGGCTTTCCTTTAGCCACTAGCCCCCATCCATTTCATTGACACATCTAACAGCATTTTTCCCAGAATATGTCTTGAATCTGACCACTCGGCACCGTATCCTCTCCTAGCACTGTGGTTCAAGGCTGTCCCTTTTGCTGGGACAGTTATAGAAGGAATGTTCTCCTTTTATCTCTCTGTTTTCAGTCTTTTCTCCTACAATCCATTCTCCACATTGAATAGTGATATTTTAAAAACGTGAATTATTTACCCCTCCTTCGATTATTGAAATTAGAAAATACCCAGAATTTTTGAAAGTCTTCAGTGACGTGGCCCCTCTGAATACTTTCTATCCCACAAACATAGCTAGTTCATTCCTTATCTTAAGGTTTTTACATGAGCTTTCCCCCCTGTTTGGATTACTTTTGCTTCTAAATTATCACAGTGTTGCCTCCTTGCAATTTTTAGGTCTCGGTTTAGATAACACTTCCTCAGAGAGGCTTACCCTGGCATCGTTCACTTCTTCCTTCTTTCGTTAATTGCCCCTCCCCACTCCCAAAATGATTTGTTTTATGAGGACAAAGACTTTATCCATCTTGTTTACTGCCATATTCCCAGTGCTTAGAATGGAACCTGATACTTGAAAGGTTTACAGTATTACATAGATGGACGTCTAAACACAAGAATGAATGAATAAATATGCATCTCGTAAGTTTTCTACAACCAGGGAAATGATGGATTATTTCATCCTGTTCAAACTTTGCATAAATGCTTATGTTAGAATTAACCATGCTAATATTTTGTTCTCTTTTCCTTTATGTGTCTTCTCTGTTCTAGATTGTAAGCCCTTACGGGTAGGAGGTATGTCCCCATTGTTCTTCCCTTCTCATCAAACGCTGAATATCATTTTACTACTTACTGTTGATTGAATTGAATTGAAAGTCAGTCTAACATCTTTATTTCCCCTGAAGTTACAGTAATTGTATATGTGTGTGTGTATATAAATATAAATATATAATTTATACAAATTCTGTAAGCAGATGTCTTTAAAACATGTCTTATTCTGTTATCTTTTGCAGTTCATAATTGGACCCTTGAGGACACACTTCAGTGGTTGATAGAATTTGTTGAACTACCCCAATATGAGAAGAATTTTAGAGACAATAATGTCAAAGGAACAACGCTTCCCAGGTGTGTCTTTATTATCCAAATGTATTTTTCCTGCTCATGGAGAACTATGTACTAGATGTTACTTTTCAGTGCCAGATCTACAAGTTACTTCTGTGGTTAAGGGTGCAAAGAAAATACAAATATATCCACTCTTTAATATTTGTAAGGTTCTGAATTTACAAATTTTAATCTATTTTTCTTATCTAAATAATCAGGCCTTTTAAAAAATTTATTCCCAAGGAAAGTAATTTTGAGACTTAGAAGGTGGGCATCTTTTTTAGGTAACAGCAAAGGTTCAACTTCTTGCCACATGGTAAGTGTAACAAAAACTTACTCATTTGATACAGATCTATTTGAAAAGACCTATTTGAATGGATTAATATACAGAGCCTTCTTAATTGGTATTATTTTAATAACAATGATAACCACTTATATTAGTGACCGTTAGTTAAACCTCAAAGAAAAGAAGTTTAATAATTGTAAATAATTGCAAGCATTTTGAAATGTGTATTGCATGGAAGTACTCTGTATTATCTCACTTAAGCTTCATGCTTAAAATGAAGCGTGCATTGTTACTCCTATTTTACAGATTGGAAAAACCAAGTCAGAGAGAAGTTAAATGTTTTGCCTGAGGCAGCATTTGAATCCAGATAGAGCTGATACCTAGTATAGGATGCCAGTTTATTCCTTAAACTTCTGAAATTAATTGTCACTGCTTTTCTAATGATGTTTTTAAAATCTGTTAGTTAACCTAATAGTCCCTGTTAGTTAACCTAATAATCCTTATAGATTTGAATGTTAAAATTTTTTATGATTCCACTGGAGCTTGAGCCTTATCTGATTGCTTATGTTCCATTATGTTCCTGGATTGTTTATTGTATCAGAAAAGACTCTAATCCTTTATTACTATCTAATTATTAAATGGGTAATGTATTTCTAATCAATTTACCTACATATCCTATTTAACTAAGTGACTTTTATGGCTTTAAAGTTTGTATTTTGGATTAAGTTGAAAGTTTTCATATCTCCTTAAATATATTCTGAACATCATGGTAGGTATTTCTGATTTTACTGTGCATATGACTATAATGATGAAGTTATGGAGATAAGAGTCAATTCAACAAGTACATATTGCGTATGTTTTATGTTTATGGTGCACCTAGATGCTGGAAGGAAGAAAAAAATTAAATGCGATAGTGTTCTTGCTTTTAAATATGACAAATCCCTAAGTTAAAACAACACAGGATAGTAGAGCATTAAAGTGGGATTAGGTTTGTTCAAGTTATATATGTTATCCTGGCACTTCCAGTATTTTTCTTACATTGTCTTTTGAGAAGTTTCTTTATATAACAACAACAGTGAAATAAAATAGGCTGCTTGATGTTTTGACAATAAATGTTATAGGCACTTTTCTTTTGGTTAAGTAAAGGTTATCACAGATAACCTCAAATTCTGGTAGAATTATTTAGATAACATCACACACTTAATGAAGATCAGTTTTAAGAATAGTGAACATGTTACTACAGAAGAAAAGCTACAAGTGTGGAAGTTCAGCTTTCAGGGCAGCCCATTGGAGCCTTTTCCAGTGGAGGCAGAGGGAGACTGGAGTAGCCTTCATCAAGGCCTTTTTATGAGGGAATGGAAATTTAAAGAGGCAATGTCATTTAACTTAAACAACTGTGTAAGTCACAGAGCTTTTTCTAGGGTAACTGTAGATATATTAGCTACTTACAAGAATGTGAAAGAAAATGTGTTACACATTCCAAATGTACACATGCATTATTATGTTTCCTTTCTGTGACATTAAAATATTGTTACACCTGCCAAAGGTAGCCAAAATTATGTTAGTTTTATGTCATGGTTATCTTTAAGCCTTTCACAGTGTGGTCTGTATTCTGTAATTCTTGTTTACCAGAGCTTATACTAAGGCTCTCTTCACCTGACACATGCCTCCTCAATCCTTACAGACTTGTGTGAACTTCACTGACATCCTCACCCACTCAGGTAGAATTGCTTCCACCTCTGGGCTCATATTAAACTTTGCATAAAATTCTGTTTTATAGTTTCCTTTTTACTACATCTCATTGTCTTCCTTAAATTTAGTCTACTGATTGTCTTGCTGTTCATTTGTGCATCCACCCTATGCATTCATTCGTCTATTATACAAACATTTATCAATTATCTACTTTTGCCAAGCACCATGCTAGGTTTGGGGACACAGAGATAAGACGTAGTTTTTGCCTTCAGGCAGTTTGACAGCTGAAAAATGTAACAGAAACATACATGAAAGGTTAATTGCAGAGATGATGAAGGAAGGCATTTTTAAAAGGGAAGGTTAGAATTCTTTACTCTCTAAAGTTTTTTAGAAGCCTCATAGAAGTTTCTGTAACTTATTCTTGCTTAGAGTTCTGAAATCTTCCTAAATAAAATGTAGTGGGCTCAGAGTACAGTCATTGGAATCATACATATTTGGATTTGAATCCCTGCCATACTTCTTACTGTATTATGTAACCTTGGGGAAGTTACTTAGCCTCTCACTACCTTAGTTTCCTCATCTGTAAAATGGCAATTTTATATATATTGTATATTTTGTTTTGAATTTTAACTGAGCTCTTGGCATAGGATCCAGCCATAAGTACATGCTTGTTTTTATTGTCGTTGTTATTAACAATTATTATTATTACACTTTGTGTCATAAAATCCTTATTAGCATCATACTTGGTTGTTAAGAAATCTTTGTTGATTACTGGGCTACTTGGATTTGAAGTCCAAAACAAAGTGATTTTACTTCCTTATTTCACCTGTGTCTTTTGGCACCCTGCATATTTTCTTCATTGCTAATTAAATGGTTTAATACTTCTTATTACGTAAATCCCTCAATTTACTGTCCCGTCCAGAGAAGACTTTCTGCTTTCATTTATGACCTCAGGGGAATTTTAATTTTTAAATGGTTTAAATATTAGAATGTACAGGTATAAGTTGTTTGAGATATTTATTTAAAAAGTGAGATGATCTAAATTGAGATTGATTTTTAAAAGTCTGCTATTAAGTAAATTACTTACAATTTTCTTTTTGTTTATGAAATGATAGTAAAATGCCAGAGGTAATTAATGATTATAAAATACTTTGAATTTGGTAAATTTCTAAATCATATTAAGTTAGAGTGTAAAGTAACCTTAGGAAACAAAAACATCAGTATAGCAACTAAATTATTAACATGCAGGAGTGTCCACAGCAGAGTTTGCATTGAAAAGGTTTGATACATGTAATAAAGTGTTAAATCACACATGGATGAGCTCATATTCATCACTAATATGTAAACTGTGTTAAATATGTTGCTCAAATATTTAAATTTGCATACTAGAAATATTTTCATTTAATATATATGTATTTTTTTAATGAACAGGATAGCAGTGCATGAAACTTCATTTATGATCTCTCAGTTGAAAATTAGTGACCGGAGTCACAGACAGAAACTTCAGCTCAAGGCACTGGATGTGGTTTTGTTCGGACCTCTGACACGTTAGTATTCTCTCTTACAAGTTATGACGCAAAAGAATAATCAGATCATCTACTTATCATTTAAAGAAGAAAAAAGTAAGAAAGGTGGTTATGGACTACTGAGAAGAATCTTCTGTTAGATATAAAAGATGTAATATTATCTTCAAAGAGTTATAGTGTGAGATTTTCTGTCATTGAAATATGGAATGTGGAATTTTCAAAGCTGGTTACTGATGTAAAAAGTTGAAAAACCATGTTGATAACTCAGAATTAAATTTCTAGATTAAAAACTCTTTAAGTAGCTTTCATATTGATGTTATTATAACTGGAGATTCACTAAAGAGTCCCTTCAAAAAATGGTGCAGTCTAAAACCATCTTGAGGACATGAGGTAGTAAATCCTAACTTGACTTCATTAATTACTAGGAAAAGGATTTTTTTTGATATAGATCGAAAACAGAGGCCTGCTTAAAACTGTACAAAGTAGCAGACTGTCCTGGCAGAACACAAGGAGGAGAATGTTATTTGATTGTTTTGAAGAACATTTAAGAAATTGCTATGTCATATTTATAAGGAAAATAGACCTTGTACTTGTTTACTTTGACAAGAATACTTTATTCCCAGAAGGGAAATTTAATATATTTATTTCATTTAACTTCAAATTTCAGAAAGCTTTGGGGGAAAATGTTTGAGGAGTACACAATTTAGAGGAATAATGTTTTATTTTTCAGAAGCTCAAAAGGAATAACAAAATTAATCTAAGAAAAATGGCTTGTAAAAATTATAAATTAGGAAACTAATGTTTATTTTATTTTAATTCTTGGCATCAAGAGACTTGCAGATTCCTGTGATACTGCTCTGGGGGTGCCCCGGCCTAAGAAGGGTGACTGGAGTGGTTGGATGGATTCCATGACTTTACTGGAGTAGATCTTTTTTGGCTCAGGCTAAAAGAGCAGCTGATGAAACAGCTGGAACTCCCCTTTGTGAGAGTTAGTGCAAATGCACTGTTGGTAGAAATTACAAACCCTAGGAAATAGAACACTGTTGAAATGCCAGGCATTCTACAGAGCTGATACCCCTTCTAACCTTTTCCTTGTCCTAAGTTTTCAGTTGAATCTATTGGGGATTGTCTTCTGTGAGATTCTGTCTAGTTTTTTCATGTGAATGATTGGTGAAAATAGAAATTAAACGATAGAATTTGTCTCTACATACAAGTTGATCAGGAATATTTATATTTTATTAATTCAAGAACAAACCACCCTCTACGACAAACAGTATTATCATTTGAAAAGAAACAAAACTAGTCTCGAAGAATGTTGAAAACAAATGTTTTAATAAACAACCAGTTAAAAAGTTAATGATGCATTATATTTTAAATGTGTTTGTCTTAGAATTATTGTTTGAATGAATGAGCCCTACAGTTGGAACACCCACGTTAGATTTATAAAAATGGCATTGTCAAGTGAACAGAGATACATTTTAAAGGAGTTCTCACTGAAATCTTTTCCAGTTTGTGGTACTTATTATACAGTCTGGGACTTGTCCATCTGTTTGTTGTTATTTCTGGTGATTATAGTTCAGCCTGAACAAGGCTCATATTTGAACTAGAGCCTGCACTGAACCTCTCAGTCAGAGGCAGAATAAAAATAAATCCTTTTGAAACGTTAACCTTCTGCTAAAGAGTGAAGAGTGAATCCTTTTCGCTGTAGATGAGGGCGTGCACTCTGGAAACATGCAACCTTGAGGGTCTGTGGCATAGAGCAGGCTATTTATCACACTGTGTGAAACATACACTAACCCTAGATTTGTAAGCATGGGAACTTTTCATTTCTGTAGACTCTTCACCTCATCAAATGTGCAAAACGTCTTCCTGCTGGAGGCCTGGACGGTCTGGCAGTTTTTCACCAAAAAACTAAATCTCTTTGCAGCAAACATACATTGTATTGTGTTAGTTATTGTGTCTCCCTCCACAGAGCCCCTCAGTCAGGGACAGACTAGGAAATTATTTGCTGATTTTTGTGTTTTGTGTCACTGAAGACAGTAGGCCCTGGTTCCTTGCTCCTTACTGTAGAAAGTGCTGGGGGCCACGGTCATGCCTGGTGCCTTAGGGAAGGCGATCCTGTTGTTTCTCTAGTAACCCAGGTCTCTCTGGCAGGTTGCCACCTAAAACAGTACTTGTTAGGATCATTCAACCCATGGTTTCTCAACCATGGCACTATTCACAGTCTGGGCTGGATCATTCCTGGATAATTCTTTTGTTACCGCAAAAGAGGGGGCAGGACAGAGATTGTCCTGTGCATTATTGGATGCTTAGCAAGATCCCTGGCCTCTACCTACTAGACACCAGAAACGAACACCCCCACTTGCACCTCCCAGTAGTGACGAGCAAAACTGTCACCTGTCTGCTGGGGAAAATAATCCCCTTTGGCTGAGAATCCCTAATTAGTCACAGTTACATGGCTACCTGCTTTGGGGAAATGCTTTTTCGTGAATGATTAGGATTTCAGTTTGTTTATCAAAGCATGACAGCTGCCTAACTTGACTGAAGGAAAGGAATTGGAATGATAATGGTGATACTCCATGACTCACTCTTTTCACCCCACAGGGGGCCATTCTCACTATATATACACGATGGGAGACGCTGTGGCTCTTTTAGTGGTCCCTAGGACTTTTGTTACTGCCTCCTATACCAGCGGGGCATGGTGCATCCATGTGGGTTTATTTCTGCCCTCCTGTAGGTCTGGTATATCAGGCAGTTATAATAAGCATATTGATTCTTTGAAGAAAGAATTTTTTAAAAGACTTGAGCTTGTATATGGATGGGACATCTTCATATTTTGTTCTGTTTTGTTTTTAGATATCTCCTACATTTTTTTTTGTAAAGTGCCTCTGTGTGTTGATTTTTTAAAATCATACTTAAAGATTAATTTAACCATCTGTAATTCTCGTCATAGGCCCTCCTCATAACTGGATGAAAGATTTTATACTCACAGTTTCTATAGTAATTGGTGTTGGAGGGTGCTGGTTTGCTTACACGCAGAATAAGACATCAAAAGAACATGTTGCAAAAATGATGAAAGACTTAGAGAGTCTACAAACTGCAGAGCAAAGTCTAATGGATTTACAAGAGAGGTGAGTAGATAAAAAAAGGCTGTAAGTCTTGTTATTTATGTGGGAAAGTGCAGTTTGTGAATATGTAATATGGGCATGTGCTTATACACTTAGGTTGGTACACACATCAGGAATTGTATGTACACTGCATTTCATATTTTTAGAAAAGTGTCGCATTGTCATAATTACAGATTTATTCTAAAGGAATGTACTAGGGAATAAATGGGAAGACCAGTGGAAATAAATCACCTATAGGTAGAATTATATGTATAGTTAAATTTTATTTTTAACATGATTTAAATCATTATAAATTTCTTAACTCTCCCTGCTATCCCTGTGTTTTTAGCTCAAGATAACCAAAATAGCTATGTAGCAGGCCACCTGATGTTTTTGTTGTCCAAACTTCAGATTAATAATAGAAAATGCTGTGAATTCTGATTGAAATATGTATCTTATTGCTTGATACATATTTATTCTTCATTACAATAATGAAATTTTGGAAACTTTTGTGAGGAATTTTCATTTTTATTGTTCTGTAAGGCTTGAAAAGGCACAGGAAGAAAACAGAAATGTTGCTGTAGAAAAGCAAAATCTAGAGCGCAAAATGATGGATGAAATCAATTTCGCAAAGGAGGAGGCTTGTCGGCTGAGAGAGCTAAGGGAGGGCGCTGAATGTGAATTGAGTAGACGTCAGTACGCAGAGCAGGAATTGGAACAGGTATTTACATTTTAAAAAAGTGTTTGTGAGGATATTGTTTTGCCGCTCTGAGGAGCTTTTTTGTTTTTGTTCAAACTCCTACATTTGGTTCCATCATATACTCTTCCTTAGTTAGTAAAGGAGTCATTTGTTCATATTGTTAGCATTGGTCAAGGTCCATATAACAAAATAATGAAGTACCAACTAAAAGGTAAAGCTTCCATCATGTTCACTTCACTCATGAAGTGTTATCCCATGCCATGTTAATTGTTTTGAGTAAATTTAAAGTATTTATTTAACGTCTGTCATATGTTTCAGACTATATCTAATGTTAAGAATCTCTATTAAACATCATTTGAATCCTGTTAAATGGTTTTAGAACATAATCTACAAATTCTGAAGTTGTCTAAAAGGTGTCCTTTCCCAGGATCTGCTTCTGCTATGCATTTACTCAAGAAGGAATTCAGGCATTGCGTGGTCCTTCAGAAAAGGCAGGGGCTGGGGGAAGGCATCCTGGGAGAATTACAGGCAATTATAGACAGGTGTATTAGTTTTCTAATCCTGCTATAAACAATTACCACCAACTTAGCGGCTTAAAACAACACACATTTATTATGTTACAGTTCTCAAAGTCAGAGTCTAAAATAGGCCTGCAGGGCTGCCTTCCTTGTGCAGACATGAGGGGAGGATCTGTTTCCTTGCCTTTTCTAACTTCTAGAGGCTGCCTGCATTTCTTGGCTGATGACCCCTTCCTTCATTTTCAAAGCATGTCACTCCAACCTCTGCTTCCATGGTCTAATCCTCTGCTTCTGACTTTGACCCTTTCTTTACTGATAAAGAAACCAAGAAACAAAATGAGGGTGAGAAAACTTGTTCAAGATTAGGGAGTGACTCAGTTGTAAAGCCGGGCCAAGAACCGAGGTATTCTGCCTCCCACTTTGCTTTATGCACTGTTGCCTTCTCAGTCAAGAGCTAAATAAGAAATAAGAATTATGTAATGGATGAGTTTCAATTTCAACTCATGAGAAAGTGTTTGGTGTACATGACTAGTTCCTTTAAGATTGTCACTTTTGGTAGGATTGTCTGACAGAGTGCAGCTCTTTTTTGTTAACTGCTAACTGTTCTCTGTCATAGACCAGACATCTGGTTTTGGGTCTTCCGTGTAAGGAATTTCTTCTTGAAGTTGACTCCTAGGACTGTTTTGCCATCAGGTCCTATTTACCTGACGAATCTTGTCTGTACAGAACATAGTAAAGAACCAGGGAGTTAACAAAAAAAGCCTAGCCGAAATTATACTGTGTCCAAGAATTAGATATTATTTCCTTTTCTCCTGTGAGAACTCCATGCCTGTTCCCACTGAGATTTCAATTCTTGGTTTGTTCCCAGGGCTGAACTAAGACATTTGTTAGCTGTTTTTCTGAACTTTGCGGACAGGGAAAAAACAAATCAAAAAGTAGTAGTAGGAATTCTTCTATAGAGTCATAAACTAATAGCAATGTTTCTGGGGAAACTGCCTCACAGTGAGGGAAAAGACACAATACAAAGAAGGAGCCCAAAGTTACAAACATTTAAGCCTGGGGTTTGGGGCGTAGAGACCTTGCACACATTAGTAGACCCTAAGATTACCATGATGCTACATTCCAGCATAAATGGAATAATCCTGATGAGATTCTGAGTCTGTGAAAAGTGGTTTAAAAGAGAGAACTGGGTATTTAAAAAGAGTTCTGTCCAACATGATTACAGTAATAAGATACACAATTTTATGAGTGCTCACTGTATGCCAGAAGTTTATGCTACGCATATTATTGCAAATATTTTGCTCATAAATTTTAACCCTCACTATACATAGATATTATTCTCACTTACAGATGAGATGTGTAGGTATGAGATGCTATTATATGGCAAAGGCAAGATTACTTGTGTCTTCTCCAAAGTCCATGTTTTCCCATACTACTATTAAAAGCTTTGTTTATAGAAGCAAGTTTAACTGGGAAATTAATTTATGTGTAATGTCACATAATCCACAATTCCACATAGTTTGAAGCATTACTGTATCTTGTCTGGAGGGTAATCAGCTTCCCAAAGTTAGAAGACAGAAAATCTGGTACATATTTTATATAGTGTTATTTTCCATAAAACAAAAGCTTTTGGGTGAATAATAGTACCACTTTATATTTTGTGTGGTTTAAGTACTTTTCACATAAATGATTTCGTTCTTAAAGACTCAAGGAGCCTAAAGTCAGGACAAGTCATAGTAACGCCTGTTGTACATGAAACAATAAGCCTCAGAAAATAAAGAACTTGCTAAAGGTCACAAATACAATAAATCATGAAGTTGGGTCTAAAAGCCAGGTTTTCAGATATTCAGACTGTTTTTTTCTGTGATCTGTTTTTACTTATTGCTGTTTTATTCCTAAGAGATAAAAATTTTGCAAATACTCATTTTAAAATAATTTAATAATTCATCATTTGTAAAAGCTACTAATTACTCAATTTTCACTGCATCCATTTCCCTATAAATAACAATGTAATTCAAAGTGAGGATTGGAATCCAGGTCAAATGATAAACTTATGAATAATAGTAGAGAAAATAGTTGCTATTGTTGGAAGGTTAGAATTTCTAAAATTTTGAGACATTATTTGACAGTCGGTCAAAACATTGATCAGCCTCAGTTTATACTAGAAGCATGTCAGTTCTGTGTTAAGTGTGTTTATTGAGCTCTTTTAGGGAAAATAAAATCGTGAACATAACATTAAGGAAAATGTTTATGATTAAAGAGAAGAACATGAGTGAATTTGTTCTGATTCTCTGTATACTTCCTTAGCAATGAGAACTGTATGGGAATTTTAGCTTTACAATTGTGTGAGAAAAGGGCCTGCTGACCTGCGCTCTGCAGTGTTGTGTAGAACTCCGTGTCACAGGACCCGAGCTCCTGTGCTCTCTTCTTGAGGGATCAGCAGGGATATCACAGCTTAGCCAGTTGTCTCACTAAGCACGGTGCTGTCCCAAGCACGTTGCACAGAGAATCAAGTCAGACAAGTATTGTTAGGGTTTGTCTTCAGTGAGTAAATGCTGTTTTACCCTTACTGTTAATATCTATATCTTGAATTGTCTACTGCCTGTCTGGTTGTGATTCTTTTTAAGTTTTAGAGTTTTAAAAAATATTTTTCTACCTTTTTTCCCCCTGTGGTATCTGACAGTTGTTCTATTTATAAAAATTTGTGTGTAATACTCTAGTTTATTCTGGCACACAGTAAGATTTATTTAAATAAATTAGGCTTGGTCAGATCAAACATTCTTCTGCACATTAGTTTAGGAATTCAGTGTTAGTTACCTTACTTAACTTTGGGGCAGATTAATTTGCAGTTATGGTGCTCCAGAAGCAGGATGCTCCGTGGTCCATCCATCACTGTGTCTGCAGGTCTTGAGTGTGTGTACCTAATTCCATAAAACCCATCACATATCTGTACACATTCTTAGCTTGAGCTTGTGCTGGTTTTCAGGCGACTCATTCCTGGAATAGGTTTTCTCTTCCTTCTGTGTTATCTTCTTAGTGAGACTTTCCTTAAGAATTTTTTCCTTAGCACTTAATACCACTTCACACACTAAACATTTTAGTTTTCTGTTTATTGTCTGGCTCCCCTAAAGGGTAGCTGGAAGAAAAACTTCTACATCTTGACGCTGAAGCTTTTCATAGTTTCCCATGAAAGAATCAAGAAGACTCTCACCCAGAATCTAGTTTCTTGAAATTTACACTTGGTCTGCAAATGCTAATTTATTTACTTCCTGGTATGTTAGAAGCAGGAAAAAATTAAATAGAGGTGACAAAACAGACTGTAATAAGGAGATATGCTCATAACAGTGTGAAATAATTGGCCATAAAGATGCCATGAAAAACTTTTAAAAATGATATAATTACTTTTGAAAGTGAGTGTCTAGTTAGATGATTACAGTGAGGCCCTCTGGGAACGTTAGAAGAGGTGGCAGAACAGGTCTGCACCCTGTTGGGGATACTTCTGCATGTCCTACTCCATGAACAAAATACACGTTATGAGAAAATGTAATCAGTTTTGTACATGTCTTAGATTTGTTTTTCTCTTAGTGAGTCTGGCTATTATAAAATATAAAAATGCAATATTGCAACCTAAGATATATGTGTAAGCTGCCTCTACCCTCTGGCTTTACAACTTTGCTTAGCAAGTTTAAGATGTATTTAAAACTTCACCTTCAGTTTTAATGTTAGAAATATACTGTTTTAGACTGTGATTTTAAAAAATATTTGCAAAGAACATAATTCAAATTGCTTTTTCTTTCAATATGGTACCAAAAAAAAATCTTAGTTTCTTAAAGAAATCTTAATGTAAATGCCTTTAAAAAGAATTTTTTCCCTCTCTAACCCTGCCCCCATCTCCCTTTCTCTCTCTCTCTCCTCCTCCCTCCCTCTCCTTCTCTCTCACTCTTCTCTCTTTTACTTCCTCCCTCCTTCCCAGGTTCGAATGGCTCTGAAAAAGGCTGAGAAAGAATTTGAACTCAGAAGCAGCTGGTCTGTTCCAGATGCACTTCAGAAATGGCTTCAGCTGACGCATGAAGTAGAAGTACAGTACTACAACATTAAAAGACAGAATGCTGAAATGCAGCTAGCTATTGCTAAGGATGAGGTACTCGATTGTGTTTCAGAACTTAAAGAAATTCCTTAGAGGGATTAACTAACCAGTTGGGATACAAAGATCTGAATAAAATTTTTAGTATCACAGATTCTTTTCATGAATTGGAACTCATTGCATAAATTGACCCTGTAATCCTAGGCTGCAAGGTAAAATTACTTTATTTAGAGAAGTATATACCTTTCAGAATGAACTTCATATCCTGTGAAAATCAGCCCTATTATCATCATCATAAATGTTTTATACGGAGCTTTTCTCCTCTAGGGTGCTGCTTCATATCCAATTCAGGTTAGTAGTTACTAGAAATTAATGTCTGACTCTTAATAATTGTGTGAAATTAGATTGAGTCTTGATCTGATTTCTAGAAGAACAGCAACAGAAAACTCAGTTCACTCACTAACACCTCCGTTGCAGTAGGTTATAGTTCATGTTATTCTTCTGGTTTTGATAGAAGATTCAGGCCTTTTTTGATTCATGAAAATAAGAGAGAAAGCCTCCAGAACAAAGTTTGTCTTAGGAAAGCATGCTTTCTCCCTCATCTGTTTTCTTCTTTGGAAGGTAGGGCTTTATCTTGGCTCATAATTATCTCCATTGGTTTATGATTACTAATATATTCAAAACAAAAGAAACCTCACTAGCATGTGTGTATTTTTCCCAACCCAGTCTCACTTCTCTCACCTTGGGTTTTTAGGCAGAGAAGATCAAGAAGAAGAGGAGCACGGTCTTCGGGACCCTGCACGTGGCGCACAGCTCCTCCCTGGATGAGGTGGACCACAAGATCCTGGAGGCCAAGTAAGGCGCTGCCGCAGCCGTCTGTCTGTTCTCACTGTGTTGACGTGTGTAACTTGTAGACAACTTAGGTTTTAGTTTGTCATTTAACCATGAACTTTTACTCATTTTATACTAATTCTAAGAGGGGGTAATTTCTTGAAACTGGTTACTTACCCTGGCCTGTTCATGTAGTTGCCTTTTTTCAGTGATGTATTCAAGGCTCTTGGAGGCAGCAAGTAATTCCTGTACTGGCTTTTCCAGGAAAGCTCTCTCTGAGTTGACAACTTGTTTACGAGAACGACTTTTTCGCTGGCAACAGATTGAGAAGATCTGTGGCTTTCAGATAGCCCATAACTCGGGACTCCCCAGCCTCACCTCGTCCCTGTATTCTGATCACAGCTGGGTGGTGATGCCCAGAGTCTCCATTCCACCCTATCCAATTGCTGGAGGAGTCGATGATTTAGACGAAGATACTCCCCCAATAGTGTCACAGTTTCCTGGTAAGTGGTGAGTTCAAAAAAGAGAGCTGGCACAGTTTTAGAGTAACTTTCTACCGTGCCTTTTATGAATCATTTACTTTGAAATCTATGATGAAAATTGTGTTCATTCTTGTCTTTTTTTTCTCTTTGTTGTTTATTGTGTTTACTGTTTGAGAATACTATGTGAGGTATGCGTGATACACACAGATATACACACACACATATATATATAATAACGTATCATGCATGCTGAATTGTATGAATGAAGTGCTGAACTTTGAGGGAGAACATCCTTTCATATGGCAGCTTAATCTATGGTAGAAAGTAAAAATTAGAGAAGACCTTGGAGACCTGAGTTCCAGTCCTCGTTCTGCCACTGAACAATGTGACTTTGAGCCAGTTGGTTTATTTTAACTTGAGTTGCCATTCCCAATAGGCATGTTTCATAGTGTTTTGTTTGCTTTCCCAGTTCTACGCTTTTATTAAGTGTATTACCCTGCTGTATTTGACACATGAAGCACTAAATCGGTTTACCTTTAAAGAAAATTAAATTGTGTTTGTGTTTAGAAAACGTACTTTTTTTTTTTGTTGCTAGAAAGTGGAGCTTCTCCCAAAGGTGGTTTTAACATGTACAGTTTTTATCATAATTCTTTTATAAACACTGTCTTCTTTGAAAATGTTTACAATATAAAGAATACATTTTGATAGGAAGGTGAAATTTAAGTATTTTAGATATTATTAATTATAGAATTTATTTATAAATATTTAGACTTCTTGCAACATTACAGAGTTTAAATTTAAAATGGTATATGTCTTGTAGTAGAAATCACTTGAAAACTCTTTATTCCTATTATTACCTGCCTGATTCATTTCTCAATCTTTATAACCTTTTTGAAACAGTGTAAATAGAACAAGAGTCCAAAGAATGGAGAGCAAAATTTAATCACTGATCTGTTGAAAACTTCACAGAAATTCCATCTTTGAGACAAATCATGATATATGAGCATTCTCCAATTTGAATTTTTCTGTCCCATTGTTACAGCTTTCCTAAAGTTATGATTTAGGAAGGGTTCTAACTTCAAAACAATGGTATTAAATAAAGCCCTAAGTTTGCAAATAATTGGTGAGTGACTATGCGCTTGTGTTCATTTCTGTGATTTTAATTATATAGTTTAATGCAGACATAATGCAAGCTGACTGGGGAGACACTAAACTCATACAAGAGGAGGGTCGGAAGGACAGATTGTAAATGCAGTGAATACTGGCAGCGCATGACCTCAGTCCTTTCACTTGCCCTGTGCTGCAAGGTAGTGATGGTTGCAAAGTTTAATCTAGATCTGGGCCAGCTCCGCTGTTTGAATATTAGCAACCTACGTTTAATTGAATTATGTGTCCTTAAGCTTGCCATATGCAGCACTGATTCATCAGTATATGATTTTGTTTGAAAATGATAGCTTTTTAGAGTTGCAGTTCCTCCTTAGAATCCGCACTTGTTCAGTATCAGAAGTGTGCCTAGACGTATCCCCTGAAGCTAAGTAGTTCTTTACTTTGCTTTTCGTGTCTGTAAGTACTTTCTGGTGGGACAGGCTCTCCATATGTGCATTAAAATCAAACACTTAACACTAGATGTGAGTAATTTAAGTTTTTAGTGACTGTGATATACAGAGAAATGTGAACTTTTAAATATAAAAATGTACAAGAGTTGATTTTAAGTTCAGTATGATGTTTTAGAAATGCTGGAGTTTATTATCCCTGAAAAAATAACTTTTGCCAAAGAGTATACTTCGAGAGCTCTATCTCCACCCAGTGGCACAAAAGTAATACTCCACTCTAGTTATAAAAGCATAAATAAAGACTTGGCAGTAGGACTAGAGTCTAGAGTAGGATGAAGGCTCTTCATTATATATCCTTTTGAGTGGTTTAAATCTGCACCATGGGTATGTGTAATTGGTCTAAGTATGAAGTAATGACAAGGAAACCTGCCTGTGGTGCATTAGTAGCAAAGTGAGAGATTGTAAAACCATACTCAGAATAATACTGTCTATATTTAATTATGTATAAATTAAAAAAAATATTATCAAGTGTTAGCTCTGTGTGGATAGGAGAACAGATGATAATTGTTTTCCTATTACCTTTATAGTATCTACTAAATATTCATAGTGGGAATGTAGTTGTAATTTATTTAAAGTTTCTTATTATAAAGCACTTTAGATGTGCTTAAAAGTTCTGAAAATGAATTGCCCATCTACTACAAAGGTAAACAGATTTCAATATTTTTGCTCTATTCATCTTTCTTTTCCTCTGAAAAGGAAAACACATCACCTCCCCTTCCCACTATTCTAAGTGGGAATCTAAGCCTGTTGTGCTTTTATTACATGCAGATACATCTATATGTAAGTAATAGATACAACTGTTGTTTGTAGAAAAATATACATAAATGTCATCAAACTGTAGGTATCATTTTTCAACTCTTTTTGCTCCAAGGTATGTTTTAGAAAATTTCCATGTTTATATATATATATAAATTAATTAAATTCACTTCAACTGTTTAACATAAGTTAACCACAGTGTATCTGTTTTATTTATTATAATAATAACCAGAGTTTATCCATTTTTCTACTCAAATAAGTTCTTTCTACTTTTTGCCCTTGCAACCAATACTGCAAATGAGCATCCTTATCTCTTACCTCCTTGTTCCTAACTTTGAGAGTTTCTCTGGGTGGACACCTAGAAATGGATCACCAAGTCCTTGGGAAGGCACCTCTTACTAGTTGTTGCCAAGTTGCTTTCGGAATGGTTCTGTCAGTTTACACACCTAATTGTTTTTAAGTGCCTGTCTGCCTGTATCCTTACCAATACTTGGAATGATCTGATTTATCTGTTTTGTAACTTGAATGGGAGTTATATGATATCTTATTGCTATTAGAATTTTTATTTCTTTGATGATTACTGAATTTTTAGATGCCGTATAGCTTTTTTTTTTTTTTTAGTTACATGTGTTACCTTTCTTTAAAAAGTTACACTTCAGTTGCTTGTTGCTGATATGTAGGGAAAAGCTGTTGATTTTAGTACACTGATTTTGTTTACAGAAACACTGAATTCTTCTATGCAAGTGTCTTGGATTTTTTTGTGTGGACAATAATAATGAATTGTTTTTTCCTTTCCAATTGTTAACCCAATCTAAGACCTCTAGTAAAATGTTGAATTAAAGTGCTAAGGTGATTGCAGGCAAATGGTGAATGCTATTTCTGACTTTAAATAGAATGCGTCCAGTATTTCATCATAAAGTGTTTTGTTTTTTTCTTTTGCTCTGTTTTTGATGGATCACTTTTAAGTTAAGGAAATTAATCTCTATTTCTATTTTGCTAAGAATGGTTTTTCTTTTAAATCAACTTTACCAAATTCTTTTTCTTTTTTATAATTGAGGTATAGTTGGTTTTCAGTGTTGTGTTAATTTCTGGTATACAACAGAGTGATTCAGTTATATCCAAATTATTCTGTATAATTTGAGATATTTGCTTGTTTCTTTTTTTATTGGGTTGAATTTTAATCTGTTTAAATGCATTCCTTTAAATGTCAGTGAAGCTATTTTTGTCACAATGTTCTATTTTTACAATAATTAGATTTGGTTTGCTATATTATTTTATTTAGGGTTTTTACATTTTTAATCATACATTAAATTATTCAGTAATTTTCCTTCCTGACACTCTTTGATTTTGACATCAAGATTACATTAGCATCATAAAATAAAGCAAGGAATACTCCTTTTTCTTCCATTTCAATTTTTTCCCTACTCTTACAGAGGCAATGTAGTACTTAAGAATTTGGTCTCTGAAACAAGATTCCTTGGGTTTGAATCCTTACTCCTCCATTTTATCCTATCCTATCCTTACTCCTACATATATATGTAATGTTGTCTAGTATTTTGTTTTGTTTTCAGTCTCTCACAAAACATTTTTTATTTGTGTAACTTTTTGAGAGGTACTCTCTCTGAGTCTCAGCTTCCTTGTTTGTAAAATGTAACCTATCTTGTGAAGCTTTCATGTAATTTAAATCAACTACTACTCCTAAAACACTTAGAACAGACCCTGGCCCATAATAATCCTCAGTATGTTTTGAAGTTTATTCTGTATTCTGAAATATAAGATACAGATTATTCCATGAATATTTTGAAGAGATTGCCTATAAATTGAGCTCTGTGTGTTGGCATGAGGGCAAGAGACAGATTTTTAAATTACTGATTCAATTTCTTATAATGGTTCTAAGTCTAGATTATTAAGTTATGTATTTCTAAAATATTGTCTGTTTTATCTGAGTTATAAAATTTGTTGGCTTAAAGTTGTCCATAGTTTTTTATATGGCTAAAAAAAAACTCACATCTTTACATCTTCTTTTAATTTCTCCTCCCTTTATTAATCTGACACAATTTGTCTATTTTATTTCACTCTTTGATTCTAGAGAGCTAATAACTTGGTTGGTTTTGTTGATATTCTCTATTTCTGATCTTATCTTTTATTTTTTTTGAATTTACTTCATTTGTTTTTAATATTTAGACACCTAGCTTATGAATTTTCAGCCCTCCCTTTTCCCTTAATGTATGATTTTATGGCTATGAGTTTCCCTCTACGAACCACTTTAACTGAATCTGCAAGTTTTGATATGTGTAATATGATTATCATCTAGTTTTAAAATGTTTCCAACTTTTAATATGTTTCTTGCAAAAGCCATTTTTTAATTGTTTTATTCAGTCACTGTTCGGAAATACTTAATGTGTTTCTCTTCATCATTGCTTTTTTTTTGTTTTGTTTTGTTTTGTTTTTGTTCATCATTGCATTTTGCTTTTTACTCTTTCCTTTTTTCCCCCTTCTTCTTTGAAAATACATTCTTTAGTAAAAGTTCTTTCATTGAGCAGCTGGGAGTGGTGAATTCTCTCAGTCGTTGCCTGAAAATGTCTTTATTTTCACTCTCACTTGAGAATAATAGTTTAACTGGATATCAGATTCTAGATTAGCAGTGATTTCTCCCAGAGTATTTTGAAAATATTTGTCATTATTTTCAGGCTTCTTATTGTTACCATTGAGAAGTTTCAGTCAGTGTTCCATGTAATCTGTTCAGGTAATTGTTTTTAGGTAATTTCTTACTTTTTTCTGATTGCTTAGAAGATGTTTTCATTTTCTTTTGTTATATGATTTCACTATAATCTAATTAGGTGTGGAAATTTTTCTGTGATATTTGGCATGCTTTTGAATCTGAAGATGTATATCTTTTTTTCAATTAAGGAAATGGAAAAATTAGCCATTTTTCTCTTTGAATATTATTTTCTTCTCTCTATTTGCTCCTACTGGGATATTAGTTGTATAGAAATATTAAGACTAGTATTAGCCTATTACTTATATATTGGATCTTATTTTATCCTACACATCTCGACCTTTCTTTTTATCGAATTTTGCTGCAGTCAGAGAAATTTCTTCAGATCTGCCTTCTAGTGTACTTGTTCTTTCTTCAGCTCTAATTTTGTTCACCCTATTCTTTGAATTTTTAATTTTAGTGACTGTTTTCATTAGTTCTCCTTGAGTCTTCATTAACTCTACCTGTTTTTTTAATGCCTTGATCTTTGCTCATATTTTTCAATTTTTATTTTATAGTTGAATGGTTTTAAACATCGTTAATTTTTACTTTTTTTGGATAATTGTATTATTTGATGTTCTTGATAGATTAAGGTAGCTGTTCCTTCAGTTTGCTTACTAGATTGCCTTCTCCTGTTTCATAGTTTTTTAGTAAGCTATCTTAAAGGGTCTTGCTTTTTATTCTCCCCCATGGAAAGCATTAGTGAGAAGGAGTAGTCTTCAACGTCGTTTCTTTTGCTTCTGGCAGTAGTTTCGAGGGCTTCCCCTACTCAGTACCGTTTCTTTGGTTAACCTTTTGGATTTAGATTTCACAGACCTTTTGGGTAGTATAAACTTGAGCTAGTATGAGTTAGCTTGTATTGGGTTTGAGTATTGAATACCCAGAGTATTGAGTTTTTCACAAGAACCTTTTAAAACTCCTGTATCCAGAGAGCAAGGAAGTTCCCTTGCTCATTGGTCAGAGTTTTTCCCTAATACACCCTCCCACTGAGGAATGTAGCCCATCTGGGCCCAGGCTTTTATCCAGAACTCTCACTCACAATTCCTCTCCTTACCTCATATGGGCTCAGGACATCATTTATATCCCCAAATTAAAACCCAAATCTTTAAATTACTGAGACCAAGAACCTCCCACAGCAGTTCCAGCATCACTCACAGGCCTGTTAGCTCTGACTTTTAGTCCCTCTGCTTTGGCATCTGAGAATTTTGTCTTCTTTCTTGCAAACTCAGCTATGCATTTAAAACTATTGTTAGATTTTATTCAGCATATTGAAGTGTTTAAAGGTATTTAAAGTGTGTGATTGGGGGCTGGGAATGGTGGTCAGATTTCTTTGACTGCTGTATTACTAAAACTATTAGTCCATATACTAATTATTATTTTTGGTTGTTGGTGGCAGGGGGTACTCCCTTATTGAAAACCAGATTTTATCTTGTTGTAAGAAAATACAGTTTGCAAAATAGTGTCATAGTAAATGGCTATGCTTTCATGTGTAATTATTGATATTAGAATGAAAAATTATCTTAGAAGTTAACTTCTATATAGTGAATTTCAGTGTTTCATTTAACTACTTACAAGTTGCAGGTGGGGATGGCTGTCGGCCTTCAGTGAAAGGGAGCAGAATGTGTGAAATAATGAGGTAGAAGTGTGGTCAGATCTTAATTGATGTCTTAAACTTATTATTTTAAAAATGGAGCAATTCTGAATAATGACAAGACCAGGCAGGGCATGAGAGTGGGTGGAGGTTCATGTCTGGTGAGAAGAGATGAAAACCACGGTTGGTTATGGTGTTGGGTACATCTCAGAGAGGAGATTGTTCCGGTTGACGATAGGCTGGATGGACTGGTAAGAGAGAGAATGACCAGGAAGCGACTGATGAAGTGGAGGTGAAAGATACACGTGGCCTAAAAATGTGAGCTTCAGAGGAACATGTTTTTATAAAAGGATGTGGGAGTAAGGGTGTACAGACAGTGCTGGGGAGTGGGAAGACCATCAACCTGATGATCTGATGCTGTAGTATGTGAGGTGAGGTGCATAAGAATGAACAGCTTCAGCTTGAAAAGGTTATTCTTAGGAGAGCTATGTTTCAATTAAGGCAAAGAAATGAAATACCCATCCAGTGAAGATCTGAGCACGTGGAGGAAGTTTGTTTACTACCTGCGTGGGTCTAGACTGAGACTGGTAGCAGGAACAAGGTAGTCTAGGACTTCTGGTTAGTTCCACAGAGGTCAGTGTTCTCTTGAGGTCCGCTCAGTTTTTGTCGGAACTCTACCTGACTCGGAAAACTGTATATACCATATTTAAATAGTCCTTGATTTAAGATTTCTCAAAGTTCAAACAAGTTGGGCTATCTCAAGAAATAACCATTGAAAAATCCAACCTGTGTTTTTCTTCTTTTAATATTAAAATTCATTAAAAGATTTGCAACAGAGTACAGATGCCTTATAAATATGCTATGTTGATTTTTAAATTTAAGGATTTATTCTCTTATGTAAATGTTTAAGTGTTGATGTTTTTTGTATGAAAAAAAACCTCATGTATTTGTACTTCTGTTTATTTTTTAGACCTGTTTTCATTTGTGTTACATTCTTTTCTTTCTCTCTCTTTTATTTCTTCACTTCCCTGAGAAGTGGTACAGGTGGATGGAGGGTGGTAATACTTGGGCACTTACTTACTTGAATAAAGGTAGATTAAATGCTGACATAGTAGTAACGTCAGTTCCCTTCGGCGTGTGTTTGTAGTGTGAGTGAAAGGAGCACTAGATTTTACGAGTGTGTTTATTTTTCTATGCTTGGTTTTCAGGGACCATGGCTAAGCCCGCCGGATCGCTGGCCAGAAGCAGCAGCCTGTGCCGCTCCCGCCGCAGCGTGGTGCCGGCCTCGCCGCAGCCCCAGCGCGCCCAGCCCCCTCCGCACGCCGCGCCCCTGGCGCACGCCCGGCACCCCCACCACCCCCCGCACACGCAGCACTCGCTGCCTTCCCCTGATCCAGATATCCTCTCAGTGTCCAGTTGCCCTGCTCTTTATCGAAATGAAGAGGAGGATGAGGCCATTTACTTCTCGGCTGAAAAGCAATGGTATTAGCCGTGAATTAACTACAGTACACGTTGGGCTGGGCAGTGGGAGGAGGGTGGGGAGGAGGGCTCTGTTGTGTTCGCTGTCCGTTGCTGCATGACGTTACCACAGACTTAGTGGCTTCTAACACCCATTTATTAGCTCTCGGTTCTGTACACCAAAGTCCAAGTTTGGTGTGGCTCAGTTTTCCGCTCACAAGGCTAAAATCAGTTTGCTGGCTGGGTTTTGTAGCTTGGGGGGCCTCGTCAATGCTCACTTGGTTGTGACCGAATTCAGTTTCATGTGGTTATAGCATTGACGTCCTGTTTTCCGTGCTTGCTCTCAGCTCAGGGCCTGCTCTCCGTTTTGAGACGAGGCCCACTGTTCCTTGCTCCATGTGGTCTCCATCTGCAAAGGCAGCAGCAGAGAATTTCCCTTCTGGCAAAGCCCTCCTTTGCTTTGCATCTCTTGATTTCCTTTATCTCTCCAAATTCAAGAGGCTTAAGCTGGATAGTAATCTCCCTATATTAAGATCGACTGGTTTGGGGCCTGATTACACCTACAAAATCCCTTCATAGCAGCACCTAGATTAGTGTTTGATTGAATAACTGAGAGAAGATGTGTGTATACCAGGGCTGGGAATCTGGAGACCATCTTAGAATTCTGCCCACCAGAGGCATAGGATATTTTCAGATATCACTGTTCAGAGGCCATTGTACACAACTGACTCAAGTCTCAGAACATAAACTTGTCTTATGAACAGTTTTCTATGTGAAATATAAAGGCATGAGCTTAAATATGCTTGAGCACAAAGAAATATTAAATATAACTGACAGGTTTTAAAATATTTGTTGCCACTTAGTGATTTGTTCTGTTCTGTGCTAGTACTTGCTGCAAACAGGCAGTATCAGATACTAAAAGTTTAAGAAAACGTCAGGAATTTGAAGGAAGAAATTATATTCATAACAGGTTTTTTTTTTTGTATAAAGTGGATATAGCCACAGTGTATTGTCCAACCCGAGGACGCCAGTGCTCAGTGAGACCTGTTACTATTGGCGATCTCTCTCTCTAAACCATCTTCTTCTTTGGAATAGATGGTATTAAGTGACAGAAAAACTGGTATTAGTTTCTCATTTTGCCACTTAGTAGCCGTGTGGCCCTGAAATCTGTTCTCATAAGAGAAATAAAACCAAAGGGAATGGATTAGACACTCTGCATGAGCCTTGGTGACTGTCATGTGATTCTTCTGTCAACATCAGCCTCAAGTAATCATTTTTCACGCATAATTGTTTCATCTACTAGTGAAGGTGTATTTTATGATTAGCCAGCGATCATTATAACATATCCTAAGGAGGTAGCCCAAGGTTTGTGTCCTCATTGCCGCTGAAGAATCTGATGCAGCTTTGCTTGGTTAGCACTTTACAGTTAGCTTTTTTGTCTAGTCTTTGGAGTACAGCTATAGTTACCAGGAAGATGGCTTTACCGACAGAACTAATTGTGTGTGAGGAATGGGAATTAGGAGGGAAACTCTGGAGCTTTGCTGTCCAGGAGAGTTCTTTGCGTTGATGGAAATGTTTGGTCCTCATTTCAAAGAGCACTGTCAAAAATTCAGTTAGCTTATAAATATGAGAAGAGTTGATTCAAAAAACTTTTCTTCCTCTCCGTTTTAGTCTTTTAAGTGTTGAACCACCAGAATCCTTACAAAATAATAATAAGAGCATTTACTCTTTACTGATATTTTATTGCCACACACGTATGCTCCTTTAAACCTTACCTTGAGTTAGGTCTTGCTATACCTGCATTAAATTTACAGGAATTCAACTACACATCACTATGGGAAAAATAGAAAAATAGGAAAATAACATAAATAGTGCATACAATTAAGTTGAACATTCCAAAAAATACATGCTCTAGAAAAAATGGGCGATCTTAAGGTGCACTGGACCATTATATACTCTAAATTTGACTTGTTAGGCAAAAGAAGCAGCATTTCAGTTTATTATGTTTTGGAGTTAGGGTGTTAGAGCTAGAAGTAATATTAGAGATTAATTAAATTCTCTTACTTAGACAGGAAAATTGGGGTCTGGTAAAATTAAGTGATTTGCCCACGGTTGTACAGCTGATTAACTGCAGGACCAGGACAGGAATCTAGGTCTCCCAGTGTAGATCAGTATTCTTTCCACACATTATTTAGACTTTTAGAAACTTGTTTTTGAAATACTTTAAACCTAGGTTAGAATTTCACATACAAAGCAGCCAAACAACACAGCAGAATAGAAAGTAAATTCATAAAATTTTAACTAAATCAGCTTCTGGCTCTGGAAGCTAAGCAGCCTCACAGTGATATATGCTGTGTGATTAATGGACATCTTCTCCAAAAAGAAGCGTAGCAGAAAGGTCCCCACCAGTGATTGATTTCTGAGTCATTTCTTCTATCTAAACTGCCTCTTAACCTCTGTTAGCACTGTCCACCATCAAACTGTAAAAGCACTTAAAAATTACGCAGTAGATGTGACTGTAGTAAATGAAAGCATCACTTAAGACCTTATTTGCCCAGGGGATATTGTACCTTCTGAGAGCTTGGAGTGTATCAAAGACAGTCTTCACACACGTGTGTGAGTAAAGTGCGTAGAAAAGGCTGATTACATTCAGCCATCTAATATGTATATCTGAAATGTATTAAAATAAATACATGTCAGAAGCAATAAACATGCATATCATAACATGAATGTTAGTAATCATAGGTCATCCAAGGTGAGTAGTATTCGGTTCAGTCATTGTATAAATGTGGCCATAGTCCTTGCTGTGTGCTGGGTACTTGCTGATAACTTGAGCTGCCAAGATGGAAGAGGCAAGTCCTGGCCTCCTTCCAGCTGGTGGATCATGATCATGTGTGTTCCTGCCCTTCTGTCTTCAGCTCTCTTCCTTCTCCCATCTTAATTTCTTTTGCCAGTTACTTTTTACCTTGAGTCCACTTTTCACTTCTTAGTCATTCCTTTCATAGAGTGGACACTATTCATCTCAGGCACGATACATACAAAAATGAATAAAACATGATCCCTGTTGTTCAAGATCGACCAGCCTCCCTTCCTCCTCCCTCCCTCCCGTAATTATTAAATATGCACTCTGAGCTTGTCACTATTCCAGAGAATACAGAAATTAATAAGACTCCTTGTCCTCATAAGTTTCCTTTCTTCTGGGGAAATTGACCATAAAGAAGTTAATATAAAATATGTTAGGTAGTGGTAAGTTCTGAGATGCTAACTACGAGGAAAGAGAATGCTGCTTTTGGTAGGGCTGTTCAGGGCGGTGTCTCTGGAGAGGGAGCGTTTGAGCAGTGACCTGAGTGACATGGAGAGGTAAGCCGTGTGGAAATGGAGGGGAGACGATATGAGGCAGAGGGAATAGCAAGTGCAGCAGCCCTGAGGGGGGTCACAAGATTGGCATGTGGCGGGGACAAGGAGGGGCTGTGGTGGGAAGAGGCAGAGAATAGCCAGACGTGCCGCGGGAGGGATAACCGTGGACCTGACCGTGGAGAGCATTGTGGACTTTGGCAAGGACTTCGGATCTGAGCCTGCGTATGGGAGGAAGCACCGCAGAGTGCTGAGTGAGGGAGTGTTGTGCCCTTATTGAGTTTGTAGAAACCACTTTAACAGCCAGCCGTGTAGAGGAGTAACCAAGGGGGAAGAACTAGAATGGAAGCTATTGTAACAGTTGAGGTAACTGCCTGGTGGGGCAGGAAGAAGGGTGAGTTTGAGGTATTTTGAAGGAATAGCTTGATCGCATTTACTCTGTGTTGGCTTTGGGGTTGTAAGCTTTAGTTTTCCAGTCCTCTTTATTTTTTCTTTCCACTGTAGAGAAGGGAGGAGGGGTATCACAAAGAAATAAACTTGTGAGAATTTATTGAATGTTTCCCCCCCCAAAAAATAGCTCTATATCATTGCCTTTCACCTGCCATCCACTCCCCACACTCAGCATCCTTCTCCTCTCTTTAAAACTTGGGAGAACTTATATTTTAGCTCAGTTATATTCTTTTCTTCCTTCATTAGGAAGCTATATTTAATAAATTTAATGACTGACAAAGGGAGTGCCAGTGATTAAAATTCATCTTTTCAAATACATGATGTCAACTGTGATTTAGAAAGAAAAATTTTCAGTATTGAAACAACATGAAAGTAGGTGCAATGATTTTAAAAATCCATAAAGTGCAAACATTTTCATTTCTCTGACAATTAAAAGAGGTATAACTTAAAAGTTATAATGTTTGTTAGATTCACAGATGTCATTATCATGATTTATGTTAAAAATTAAACGTTGAGTTTTGATAAGTTGTATTAAAGTAGTAATTTTGTTAAAATGCGTATAGAATTTTAACATCTCTCTCTTTTATATTTCGACAAACAGTGGGAAGTTGTTTTGGTTAGAATAAATGAAGAATGTCTGCTGGTACCCTTAAGAACATTACTGATTTAAAATTTTATCTTTACCTCTGTCTCATCCAGGGAAGTGCCAGACACAGCTTCAGAATGTGACTCCTTAAATTCTTCCATTGGAAGGAAGCAGTCCCCTCCTTCAAGCCTTGAGATATACCAAACGTTGTCTCCTCGGAAAATATCAAGAGATGAGCTCTCTCTAGAGGATTCATCCAGAGGCGACTCGCCCGTAACTGTAGATGTCTCTCGGGGTTCTCCTGATTGTGTAGGTCTGACAGAGACCAAGAGTATGATCTTCAGCCCTGCAAGCAAAGTGTACAATGGCATCTTGGAGAAATCCTGTAGCATGAGCCAGCTTTCGAGTGGCATCCCGGTGCCTAAACCTCGCCACACGTCGTGTTCCTCAGCTGGCAACGACAGCAAGCCAGTTCAGGAAGCCCCAGGTGTCGCCAGGATAAGCAGCATCCCCCATGACCTCTGTCATAATGGAGAGAAAAGCAAAAAGCCATCAAAAATCAAAAGCCTTTTTAAGAAGAAATCTAAGTGAACTGGTTGGCTTGATGGAATTCCATTCAAGTGGCATCTTTAAACTTTTATCTCCCACCCTTCACTCCTTCTGTTTTGTTTTAAGTTGAGGAATGTAATTCCATTGGGGCTTTCCAGACTGGATGCCATAGTGGAATGTCCTTAAGGGCAACTGTCTACTGTCTGCTTATTTAAATGACTATATAATCAATTTGTCAAGCCAGTTATTACTGAAAAATCATTAAGAGATGAGACAGTTTACAGTCATTTTTGCCTATTTATTTCTGCTTTGTTGTTAGTGATGTATATACAACATTTTGTTGAAAGCCACTATGGACTTACAAGCTTTAATGGACTAGTAAGCCAGCATGGGCTTGCAAAAATTTCTTGTTTACCAGAGCATCTTCTTATCTTTCCACAGAGCTATTTACATCCTGGACTACAATAACTTAAAAGGAGTAAAACTAATTGCACTACTGTTTTCCAGACTGGAAAAAAATCTCTGCGAGTGAAACTGTATAGAGTTTATAAAATGACTATGGATAGGGGACTGTTTTCACTTTTAGATCAAAATGGGTTTTTAAGTAGAACCTAGGGTTTCTAACTGACTTGATTTCTGGAAATGAAAACCCACGCTTTTATTATGGGAAGCTTCTCTAAATGCATTTAACATTATAAAGTTTCGAGTCCTGCTGTAAAGATCATGTTGTTTTGTTTTCCCCAGGGCTTTCACTGTGATTTTCTGCATTGCAGGCTGTATGATAAAATACAAATAATTTAAAGAGAGAAGGCTCTTGATTCCTTACCCAGGTGGACGAGTTAAAACCTGATTGAAGGACTTAAAACATTCACAAGCTGATACTGAGGTGGGGAGAGGTGGGGATTCAGGCACTTGTTTACAGACTTAGTAACTGCAAAGGATTTATGGTTTGTGAAAAACTTGTACTGTGGAAAAGAGAATAAATCGAAGACAATATTGTGTGGGACTGTGCTGATTTTTGTTGATAACACTCCACTAAAAACACTATGTTTTCTGGAGAGTCATGTAAGCTGTCTGGTTGCTTAATTGCAATATAGGAAATAGTGATGTGTTGGAAGTAAGTTGTCAACAAATCTCTTTCTATTTTATATTGTTTGTCGTATTTTTATGTAGTTTGAAATGTTTAAATGTTCTAATATCAGAATTAACAAATATAAATTTATGGTGCATTTAGATTGTGTTGTTTTAATTTGTAAAGTTTGGGGTTTGTTAAGATAGCTTATTATGACGGCAACTTTTACTGTGAACATTGTCACACAGAGCAACAAGGTACATTAACATCTGGGGAGTTTCTGCTTAAACTGCTTCTTTTGAAAATTCAGTTGAAATGATGTGGTTAATGCAATGTGGATGAACATCTGAGTGAACAACCGATACATACTAGCTAGAATGTTTTTTTAGCTTTATGCCTAAAATAATGCCCAGCCCAGTCTGTTTAGATGAAATTTGCTCCAAAGAAATACTTTATTAAGAAGATGTACCGTTTCCCAAAGTCTCCTAAATTCTGTGTACTTAAGTACTGCCCTTAAAACTGTTAAGGCCTTGAATGATATTTATATGCATAGGTATTCATGTATTTAATAGTGTTGTAAGGGAAAAAATTGACATGAACATAGTGTTTTGGACTAATTACAAGCTACGTTAACCTGAAAGGTCAAGAGTTGAGTAGCAGACATTTAGGAAGGGGAAAATTATGCATTAAGAATTGAAAAATGTTGTGGAAAGTTTCTTCAGAGTGAAAGGAAAACCTTATCTTCTTTCTCTTTCTTACAATCAGGCAGGCGTTCTTCCCTTTGAAAACTGCAAAAGAGATGAGAACTGCTTAGTTTGATGAACAGAAAAGGTAAAAGCCATGGGGCGTGGAGTGGTGCTGGGAGAAGGAATTGCTCTAGGAGTACCCAGCAAGGCCCCCACTTGTTCAGAGTTAGAAGGAATCCTGGATCAGAACCATCTGGACTCTGGAACTTGTGGTGGGTGATGGGAGAGGCTGGCCTAAGTAGAATGTGGGCTGTCTTATGTCAGGGAATGCATTGTTTGTGCTAAATTTCACATACTCGTTTATAAACAGATTCAACCAAGGGATATTTGCTACATTATGTAGCTTGTAATATTTACTTTGCATTGATACAATGCTCTGTTTTTGTAAATTTAACAGAAAAATAATTGGGGTTTGAAAAGCCACAGTAATTTCTGTGTCTCATCGTTTATACATGAAGAGTTGGATGTTAATATAAATTTTAAAAGTTACCCATTTGTTACCTTATTTTAACCTTATAAAGCTATGCTATTTTCCTGATTTTAGAAGTAATTGTAAAAAATAATTTATGATAGAAAAATACAAAGAAGAAAAACAACAGCAAGCAGATCAAATTCTACCGCCCAGAATAATCGCTTTTAATATTTTGGTATGTTTTCTGCTAGATCATTTTCTATCTGTTGATATATATTTTACATAATTGAAGTCATACCATATGGTTTTATATGTATGTCTCTTCACTTAATATAGTATGCACATTTCTCCAGCATTATTAAAAACTCTTCATGAACAACATTTTAATGATTGTATGATATGCCATTGAATTCATTTACCATAATCTTTTAAATTACTATTTTATTATTAAGCATTAGGCTGTTTCCAAATTTCTGATAGGTGGAATAATATCATTTAACATTTATTAAGCACCCTGTATGCCAGGCACTGTTCTAAACTCTACTAGATATTTTCATTTAATCTCTACACCAACCTCGTAAGGTAGGTATGGTTTTTTGGTTTTTTGGGTTTTTTCTTTTTAAAATCACCATTTTACCGATGAGGAAACTGAGCCCAGAAAATCAGTAATTTGCTGAGGGTCACATAGCTAGTAAGTGGTAGAACCATGTTGTTAACTTTGAAGTCTGCATAAATTCTAATCAACATTCTGATTCCTTAGAATACATATATTTAGCAAAGCATAAAGGCTTTTAGTTTATGTGTATGCACATGTGTAAACATGCACACACACGCAGTCTCACATACACCTTGAGGGTGACTCATGTGAAAGTTCTTTCTCCATGTAGCCATGTTTGTCGTCCCCCCCCCCATTTGAGTGTATGACTGACTTTTTAACTCATACCATCAATGTCTGAGTTACCATTTGGTTGAAACTTTGCTAATTTAATAGATTTTTTTAAAATAGGGAAATAATGTCTGGTATGGATGGAGAGTTTTTTCATATTACATATTTTTCATTTCATTGAATTGTCTGTTCATGTCTTTTGCCCATTAAGTTCTTGTAGTCGTCATGTTTTTCTAAATCTTTTACATAGTCTTTCAAATGTACCTATTCTTGTATTCTTCATTTACCAACTAAAACCATGTTTTTTTTAAAATCATACACGTATTTTTCATGTTTGTTTTTAAAAAGTAAGGTGAAGAAAACCTACATTTAAGTTCGAGTCTTACTGATCTGGTTTTAGGTCTTGCATGACAGAGTAGATTTTTTCCCCAAAAAAAATTACAGGTAAGAGACAGTGAGAATCTGCTTAGTCCATTCTGCAGCTATTTAATAGTTTACCATGTACCAAGCATCATGCTAAACTCTGGAGGTACAGAGGGAACGTGCCAGGTACCTGCCCTAAGGAACTTGGTATCTAACAGAGGAGACAGATCAAACACACATCGTTATAAGGGCAGTAATAGAAATGTAAAGCAGATGCTGGGGAGAAGGGAGCTAATGGGGAGACAGATTATGTAGCTCAGAAGTATTAAGTGAAGGATAATTTAATGGTGCTAGTTTTCTGAGGACGTGAAGAGATTTGCTGTGGCTGAAGCAGAGCCGAGGGCAACAGAGTTTTAGGACTTCTGCTAACAACTAGTAGTCCGGTTCCAGCAAGTGCGCTTGCAGTTACTGAGTTCCAGCAAAGCACTTGGTAACAGCTGTGAGGATGCTTGTTTGGGGCTAAGTTGTTTACCATGGAAAAGCAGCATTTGCACAATCCCGCATAAACCCTGTTAGTGCTGATAAAAAATTGTCTACCCCCCAAGCTCACCCCCAGCCCTAAAACGGGGGAGTCTGTTGAAAGACATGCCTTCAGATTTACCCAGGTGGGCCTGATCCGATCTTGGATCAATTGGTATCGAGTCGGCTTCAGGCCAAGTTCCAGGATTTTTGCCTCAGGCCAGTGACTGGGCTTTCCGGGCGTTATCTATGCATCTCTGAAGTGGCCCCCAAAGGGTCCTCTCCATAGCGATGTTTGCAGTAGGCCCAGCGAGGGAGGTCTCAGCCCAGATCCTGACTTATCAGCGAGCAGGGTTTGAGACAATGCCCAGGATCCTGTCTCGAGCTGGAGTTTTGACTGTCCCAGTCTCCATTATCCTTACGTTTCAGCCTTTACTGGCTATGTTGCAATGCTTCATCAGCTCCCAGAGTGAGGGAGCAGGCGGTGAGCTCATGGAGAGGCGTGCAGCCCGCCTCCCCTGGGTGAGAGCAGAGCGCGCGGGGACCCCAGTGCTCACCGTTCCGAGCCCTGGGCCTTCAGGCAGCCGCAGAGTTGCTGCTTCCCCTTCCCCTGTCCTGCCAAGGTGGCCTGGCAGGTTCTGTTTCTCTATAAAGCGAGACTCAAAGAAATTTTAACCTGGGTCAGAATTGTTCTTCATCTCTTGCTTCAGACAGCCACTTGTGGTTTCACGTGGCTGTGTTACATAGCAGCCATCCCAGTGTCTCAGGTCTGGCAAGAGTATCTCGCGTCTATTCCTACTGCCTCTTTAATTGCAGCATCTTAGTTCTAAAATGTCCACATGGGCTAATGTCCTACATGTGAGAGTGTTAACTTCTGAAATACTCTCACTGATCTCTGGTCCCCGGGTTGTGATGGCATCAGATCACTGAAGGGCACCAGCACTGAGGAACTGGAAAAGGTTTCTACAATAAGAATGTGGCTTTTTTGTTTTATTTTTGAAATTCCAGCCATCCAAGTTTGATTCTTTCCCTTAAAAATCTATGAACCCTCAAGAAGTGCATCTGTAGCCAAAGCGTACAATGACAAGAAATTAAAAAAAAAGTAAAAAAAATTTTTTAAGTTAAAAGAAAGGGAGGTTGGATGGGGTGGGGATGGATAAAATGAAGCCTGAGTGCAACAGTGAACCAGAGGTTGCCTTTGACCTTTAACATAAAGGTAAGAAAAATGAACCTGGATATAGGATCAGGCACAGGACCTTGAGAAAGGAGAGGTGGTTGGGAGGGGAAAAGTGCATTTATTGTCAAATCACCAAATATTGCCCATTTAATCCCTGAACATCTCAGCTAATGCTTCCACTGCCCTGGGGCCTTGCCGTCTTCATCTCTCATTTTATTAACTTTAAAGAGCTAGCTGGACCCGGCCCCACCATCCTTCCTCCACTTGTTGGTGAGCTTGCTAAGCCATAGGATGGATTTTCTCCAATTAAAATCTTTCTGTGCCTTTCCATTGCCTGTAGGATAAAATATAAACTTAGCACAAATTAGCAAAAGACCCTGGTGTTCTAAGCCCTGCTTACTCCTCCAGCCTCATGCCTCACGTTACGGACATTAGCTCGCCAGTTACACACAGCTCTGTGCAGCTTCCTCAGCAGGCCAGGCTGCTGCATTTGCCAGAGCGTCCTCTCCTTTCTTGGGCCACAAACTCTGAACCTTTAGCTCAGCTCAGGCATCTCTAGGAGGCAGTCAGTACACCCGCCGAAGCAGAGAGACCACTCCTGTGAGTGTACAGAACTTTGTATTTATTACAGCACTCATCACATCGCATGACGACGACCTGTTTACTCGTGTGCCCAATAAACCAAACTGCTTGAGAGCAGGCACTCTGCCTTATCTCGCTTTGAAGTCCCAGGAACTGGAACTTCAGGCACTTAATACATCACATGCCTGAAAAATGGATAAATGAGTAACACGTTATTGCTGCCTCAAGTTTCAGACTGTTAAGGGCATTCACAAGTTTAATGATTTCTTAGAAGACAAGTACCCCATACAAATGAGCGCTGTATGGCCTTTTTTTTTTGGTAATGCAGATTCAAGAAGGAAGAGATCAAGATGGCATGGAGTAACTAGTCTGTTTTCTTTGTGAATGTTTGGAGCTGCTTCTGAATCATGAGTGCTGTCTGAATAGGCCTCATAGGAACGGTGTCAGAGCGTTGGGTTCTTTCTTCTCAGGCTCCG